ATTGCCTGTCAAGGGAATCAGTGCAACACATTTTATAGGGGGTTTTGGAAATTGAATAATTTCTTTATGCATTATGGATTAACAGTTATATATTTATGAAGGACAAAATGAAAAACAAAGGCATCTCCTTCGCACATTGGGCGGCAGGACAACAATACATTTATTACTCCCTTTATTATCCCTCACATGACTTGTGTCTTGTGTTTTTTGCGGCGGCGCGCGTGCCGGCCTGGCGTGGTCAGTTTCGTTTCGGTTGTATTGGTGCTGCGTGTTTCTCGCTCGCGATATTTGTGAGGTTATAACTGTTATAAGTGCAATTATATTTCTTTCGGGCTATATGTGTGTTTCGCGCTATTATTTGAGAATTTGTGAGTGAAATCATATTTCTTGTGCTCCGTAACAAAAGTGTTTTTAGTGTTTTATTTGTGTGCTGTGTGTGTGTTTCGGGCTGTTGTTTGTGAATCGTGAATGCTATTATATTTTCTGTGCTAGTGAAGTGAAGTTTTTTGTATTATTATTGCTCTGTTGTCGTTATATGGATAAATGGAGGCGGTGCCTGGATGTTCGCGAGCCGGATGTACTGCTNTAATGCATGTCTGTTAATTCTGCGTTAGAGTAACCAGCCATAGCGAATGAAAACTTGTGCACTGAGAACAACTGTCAAATACGTACAGTTTATTTCACTAAACATCAACCAACTATTATAAGAAAATACACAATGTTTTTGCAAAATAAAAAAAAGGGGCTAAAAAACATAAAACATTCCATATCTCCGCAACCGTTACATTGCGGACCCATGTTTATTGAGACTTTTCTGCTTATTTTGGTTTATACTATTACCTCCTTAAATATTTTACACTCTTTTTTTAACACCCTGTGTGTACTGGCTTAATAGTTTTCACTTTGTTAAAATAATTTACAACTCTCTTTTTGATTTTTGAAGTAAAATTTTTATAGTTACCTACACGAAAAATATCAAATTTCTTATTTTGCCATCAGAAAAAAAAGCGCTACGCCAAATATTTTGGTTCAGGGCTTAAAATGAAAGTATTGTAGAACAGGATATCTTATTATTTTGGATTGACTCGAAAATTTCATTTAAGATCATCGGTTACGCTTAAATCCTCCCTGTACATTATAGAAGTGCCTAAGAAATAATAAACAGAGTTAATATTAAAACAAATTTCTTATAAAGTCTGGTAACACTTTAAAGAAGAAAAATTGTACTAAGGTAACTTAATCTTGATCCAAGGAAGCTACTTTTGAAATATAGTCTTGAAATTCCGGATATTCAGAATGAATATTTTATAACTTAACATTTATTTTAATTAACACTATCTTATACTGTACACGCACTTATATGGGTATCAAGCACTACTTATATATTAACAATTTAAAAAATTATATACATAAACATATTGCAAAAAATATCTAGAAATTTTTTCCTCTTAATAATCTCTAATTAGTCTGTTCTATTTTGTAAGTTGAGGAAAACATATCTGTGAATGTCAACACCACAGAACTAGCCCTATAAAATTGTCCGCAATCGTGACAGCCAAATTAGCTTTGAACTTTAGTTTTAAAAATCGGGAAAGTTTCCAGAGTTGACAAACATTTTGTTGAAACATCTGAAATGTTACTGAGGGGAGAGATATTGCTGTTTAAGGGTAATGCCAGCGTTGAAACTTTTCTATTGCCAGAAATCTGGTACATTTTTGTTCTGCGTTTTTCTAGAGAGCACGGTTATTCAAATCATGAATTTGAAATATAACCAGACGTCTTACAAAAGAAAAATAACGGAATAAGTTTTACGTTTCCAACGAAGAGATTTTTTTAGAGACTGGAACTCGGCTGTATTCAAGAGTTGTGTTGTTTGAAATTGAACTCCTTAGATTTTTTTATTTTTGAAATATGCACAGATATTTATTATTTTAAATATTTTTAAATGCCTTCCTTGCATACTTTGATAGTCGATTTTTTATTAACTATACAAAATACAACCCCTTATCCAAAACTTCTGTTTCGTCCTAGATGGGTATATCAGCAGTCCCTGTCATATTTCTAAAATGGTTGAATGTATCAGTTTTGACCTAAAGGTCTATATGAAATAATGGAATAAAATTATGGTTCTTAAAATACAGTAAATTAAATATTACTAATTAATTATTATTGCTCAACCAGTACCTAATTACTCTTTGTTTTAGTATGAAATAAGAAAATATTTATCTAAAATGGTTGGCGTTTCATAGAACATACAGGGTGCCCGGAAATATCATGTCAAAAATGAAATATACAGGGGAGAGGGGAGGTCAAAATAGTTGTAGTACTTCATAAACAATTTTTGTCTATCGGACTTCGTTTTGGAGAGTTATTTGCCTTCGAATGAAGAAGTTTGAAAAACAAATTCCAATGATACGATACGACTTCTATGTCGTTACCATGACAGTGAAATTTGGGCAATTAAAGTAACTCAATTTTAAACTGATGTTCAGTATGCCTGGATTATACAGGAGCAGATGAAATCATCCATTTAAATGTATACATCATTGACAGCGTTGTCAAATTTGACATTTTTCTTTCATAGTTCGATTCTTCTCTCACTTTGTTAAAAAAAGTATATCATATATCAGTAGATATCTTGTACCGTTTTTGAGAAAATCGAATTTTATTAATAACATACATTTATTGAATCAAATATGTGATACTAACATTTTTGTAAAAATCTTGGTTTCTTTCCGGACACCCTGTATATTTTTTTAAATATTCTTTATTTGAAATTAAATGCACTGACGGAACTAAATACTAATGACCACAAAATTGTAATACTCTTATTGTCTCTCAGTTTCTCCACCACCAGTTGATAAGCGTAGTCAACAAACTTTTACTTTTAATTAGTCTAAGTTCCATTAGTCAAACAGATGTACTTTGTTATACAGATGGTATAAATTTTAAAATATTTAGCATGTTATGTATATTGAAAACCAGTAGCTATAGAGGCTTGCTTCAATAAGGATACCTAGATCATAACAATATAAAGAATACTTCGAGCATTTATGATAAAAGATTTAGAGAACATTCTGTAGATAGGTTTATAACGTTTTTTAGTGTTAGCATTTAGAAATTGTGGTGATTATATTAGATTATTACAGTACGCGTTTAAAGTATGGAATAAATTCAGTAAAAACGAAACAAAATTTTTTTTTGGGAAAAATCCTCGAACAGGTCGATGTTTAATTTAAAAAATACATATTTTAACATAAAAGGCGATTTTCAACAGTCATTTGTTTTCGAGTAATGACGTCATCGAAATTTTTTTTAAACTGCAACCCCCTATTTTTTTCTAGACGTGAAAGATCGTTTAATTGTCGATCCGACAGTTTTAAAATGTTGCCATCTTACATAGGAAAGTTTTCGAGTAAATGACGATTGAATGTTAGAAAACCCAAATGACGGTTGAAAATCGCCTTTTTATGTATTTTTTAAATTAAAAATCAACCTGTTCGAGAATTTTTCCCAAAAAAAATTGTTTCGTTTTTACTGAATTTATTCCATCCTTTAGGCGCGTACTGTATATTAACGAAAAATTTCTCAAGAAGTCATATTATTTCTTATACCGGGATTCCTTAATTCGACTGTACTTATACAGAGTGTTCCTAGATCAAAATTAATACAAAAAGGTGTTACTTATTATGTAAAAAATATGGAAAATTTAATCCAACTCCCCACGAAGATAGAGGCTGTAAAACTATAACATAGCAAAAATGAAAAAAACATTAAAAAATCGGGCTAAATATATTTAATGTTACTTCAGTTGTAATATACGGGGTGTTCAAGTTTTTGAAAAAACATCACAAATATCTCGAAAGGCATTTGATGTAGATTATTGAAATTTGGGCTGGTGACCTATCTAAAGATAAAAAAATCGTTTAATTGGTATGCAGCTATATCAACCAGTGGCAGAGATACTGTAAAACATTTATCAAGAATACAATTTCGACGCTGCTATTTTAAAAACTGTATAAGCTCATTTCATTCGCAATTTTATTTACAAGAAAAAAGAGCCCCTTTGTAAAACAAGTATTTTTCTTCTTCTTCTTTTTTTAGTCTAAAATAAGCCAACTTCACAACTTTGTTGCAAAATATAATCCTTAAGGACAAAAAAGTTTTTTTGGTTTTTTCATAATTGCATTTTTAAATGTATTGGAGTTATCTTAGATTTATTCAAATATTCTGTAGGTTTATTTCAAATTTAAAAAATAATAACTAAAGCTCGTTTTTTGAATGAAATGAAATTATATTTTTTATTTAGAAATACCGATATAGTTTAAAAGCATACATCCAATTTCCAAATTGTTTATTTAAATAAAGCAATAAGCTTCTTAATGATTTTATCGATTCCCCAGATTTATTAGCCTTGATCTGTTTACATGTACCATAACATGATTTTAGAGTAAATGCACTGTTTCATGAGACTTTTTATCGAACTAATTCTGGTCAAAACTCTCCTATAAACGGAATTTGCAGACATTTTAACTTATACTGTAGTACTCTAGATATTTTTCATTCCTCGCTCATTAGTTTTAAAAGATTTTTAAAGGGAACTATTATTGTAAATTAACATTTTCTATTATAATAATATTTTCTGTACTTTTATATTCAATTAGCTTTAAGTAATTTGTGGACATAGTTTTGGGCTATAAAGCCTGTGTTTGTCCCTTCTCCATAAATAAATAAATAAATAAATAAATAAATAAATAAATAAAGCATTTCCAGACACATGTTTATAGGAACTTTTATCTTTTTTGATTTTTCATGTAGAATCATTATAAAGAAAGAAGGAAAGAATTGTATTAACACCTTGTATAATTTACAAATGTATTTCTAGGATTTGTATTTGTCGGATATCAGTGACAAGGTCAAATTCGGGATACATTTCACATTTAAACAAGCCGCAGGTCACGCTATGCGAATAAGCTAACCCATCTCCCCTTTAATTTCAGGATGGGGTAAGTGGAGCGAGTGGTCGTCCTGCAGCGTGTCCTGCTCCTCGGGCATCCAACAGCGAACGCGGCGCTGCCGCCTGGCTAGCAGCTGTCCTGGTTTCAACGTGGAACAGCGTCATTGTAATCTATTTGGGTAAGCTTGTTACGGGCTTAATTCTGCTTAAAGTGAGCCCCTTTGCTCTTCGACCTTTTCGATGTTTGCCGTTTTATATTAAAAGCGAGGACTTAATTTAGCGGAAGCTCTGTTTAAACGACATTTAGGCGCGGCGATCGAGCGCCGGAGTTGATGTTTAGAGATTGTGACGGGAAAGTACTGTGCTCATTCAAAAACAGAGAAGTATTAAAATATAGAGTTTGTGAGTTGTTATAAAAAAAAATTGTTTACAGGATGTTTAAATCGGGGAATTTTAATATGCGATAGAACTACAATAAAAATTAAAGTTCATATGAACTTGTATGTTTTAAAACTCTGTTTTCGAAATGTAAGGTGATAAAGATGAAAAGAACCTTTATTTCAAATATCTCAAAAACTGCTTGGCCACTTTTGATAAAATTTGGCACGTTTTTAGTACTAAGTAAGCGGGTTAATTGATGTAATTAGATTTAATTTAATTGCTCCAGGAATAGTGCTGGGGCATCCTCACTAGATACACTAGGCACAGAAATTAAAGGATATTAAAAAAATCTGAAATTTTGGGTGATTTTCAAAGAGCTGTTTGGAGGGAAATGGTCGTAGAGAGAATCGAAAAAAATGAAATTGAAGCTTTAAGTGTCTAGTTTGCAGATCTGTTTAAAATTTTTTAGCGTCAGCAGTTTTTGAATAATCATAAGAAAATGAACGGAAAAAAAATTGTAAATTTTTGTTTTTTTAAAAAGACCTATTGACTTCAAAAAATTTTTTTGATAATTTCATCATAAAGCTCTTTTAGATCATTCAATTCTCTTCGATTTGAGCGGTTCCGAAGCCTTGTACCATTATTTGTCGCTGAGTTATTGTCGATCAAAGCAAAAAAATCATTATTATTAAAAATATTAATGTCGTACAGAAAATCCAAGCATTGTTTTAAAAACTGCAAAGAATTCTCTATCAGTCGTAATTATGGGTTTTTAATAAAAAAAATTTTTTCAAAGTGAAAATGTTGGTTAGAAAAAAGGTAAAAAATTACATAATTAGGGATATTTGAATAACTTGGCATAACTTTGCAAATAATGAATAAACTAAGGACTGTAACTTTTCAACCTCAAAGTGTCCTAAAGAAACCCTGATAATTTCAAAACGCTGCGATTTTTTTCCTCTTCCCAGGAATGTTTAAATTTGTCGTTTTGCTCAAAATCAATGTAATAAGAAATTTTTCACATTTTATTCATTTTTTTAAGTGTAAATAAGTGCATTAATATGCGAGGCCCCTTAGAATCGGTGATCAGGAACAGAGGCGGCAATACCCGATATTATACTGTGATCAGCAAATCAACCAAATTTTTTTGAGGTTTATGAAGCTTGTGGATATGTTAAAAAAAAATAGAAAAAATAATTTAAAAAAAAAAATTTTTTTTTCAGTTTTTTTTTTAGAATCATGAACATTTTTTGATGAAGAAAATATGAATTATTGCCAAAAAACATTTTTAACTTAAAAAAATGAATAAAAAGTAAACAATTACTTATTACACTGATTTTAAGTAAAACGACAAATTTAAACATTCCGGGAACTAGGAAATAAAAATCGCAGCGTTTTGAAATTATCAAGGTCTCTTTAGGACACTTTGAGGTTGAAAAGTTACAGTCGATATCCTTAGTTTATTCATTATTTGCAAAGTTATGCCAAGTTATTCAAATATCCCTAATTATGCAATTTTTCACTTTGAAAACATTTTTTTTATCAAAAACCCATAATTGCGACTTGTATAGAATACTTTGCAGTTTCCAAAACTCTGCTTGAATTTTCTGTACGACCATTATTTCCCGAGTAATTGATTGCCAAATTCAAAAATTATTTTTTTGCTTTGATCGACGATTAGGTACTCAGCAACAAATAGTCGTATAAGGCTCCGGAATCGCTAAAATTGAAGAGAATTAAATTATCCAAGAGCTTTTTGATGAAATTATCAGAAAAAATTTTTTGCTGTCCCTAGGTCTTCTTAAACAAAGAAAAATTTTACCAATTTTTTTTCCATTGATTTTCTAATGATTACCTACTCAAAAACTGTTGACGATAAAAAATGTTAAATTACAGATCTGAAAACTAGATACCTGAAGCTTCAATTTCTTTTTTTTTATTCTCTCTATGATCATTTCCCTCCAAGTTACAGCTCTGAAAATCACCCAACATTTTGAGATTTTTTAAATATCCCTTAATTTCTGTGTCTAGTGTATTCTAAAGATATATTTGAGCATGCCATTGCTTCATCATAAGTTTCATATTATTTTTAGGTTCAGAAATTAAAAATGCATTTTCTTGGTATTAGTTTTGTTGCGTTAGCAAAGTTTGTTTTTTTTGTGATCAGTTTTATTATATATTCATTTTTAAACATTTCGATTGTGGAATTGTTTTTATAGTTGGAATTGCTATCACAATTTTAAAAGGTTGCAAGACTTACAAGATATACAAAAAAATATAGTATTAATTTTTATGACAGTCTAAAATTAATATCAAAAGCGAGGCAATGGTGTAGAAAAGTAATCTCGCTCACCATAAGTAAATTTTGGTTGAATTGAAATAAAGGGAAATAATACTTCCAATAACAGAAATTTGGTTCCAGTTTAAGATTTATAAAAAAAATAACTAGTGAGACGTCTACTCTAAAAAGAGAACGATGTAAATCGCCCGCTGTATATTATTCGGAATGCAGAGAGGAAGCTGTAAAAGCTGAAAACAACTTATACAATCTTTAACCCAGACTTTCTGTCTCCAAATTATTTAAAGTAAGAATCTATCTCTATGTCAAGTGGAAAATTAAAATCTCCAGAGGCCAAAATATGATTTTTCTGTTTTCTATTAAGAAATAATTTTATTTTGCTATAATAGGATAGTAGATCATAACAAAAATAGTTTGTACTTTCAGTTTACTTTTAAATTAAATTAATTAAAAAATATTAGTCTTTCCTTGTCGGCTTAATAAATAAAGAACTTTAGTCATATAAATAATAATTAACAAAACTATAACTCAACTTTAAAGTTGAAAAATAAATAGTATTTATCCACTATTGAATAATTTCCCCATCATTTTATATGTTTAAAATATTCAAACACATAAGCTTTAGTGAGTAATTCATTATTACCAGAAAGTTTTATGAACTTTATTATTGTAAAACAAAAACTGGCTAATGTTGTGGGAGTAACTGTTTAAAATTAATGTATGTTATACAAATTGTTTTATGTCAAGTGAAATAATATATTTTACCCTGACTTATAAAAATTGTGATGCATATACAAGTATAATGATACAGATAAATTTTAATTTGATTGTGACAGTCTCAATATCTCCATTCTGTAAAAAATCTAAACCAAATGCAGTAATTACTATGCGAAAACAGTAGTGCATCAAATAATCGCTGTTATTTACTTTATTAAAATAGTCATGTTTAACACACAGAAAAAAAAACAGACAGAAAACAATTTGTTTGTTCAATGTAGTGATTTTCACTCTATCGAAATATAGACGCTCCAGGGAGATCCTCAAGGCTCCAATTTAAGTCCCCTTCTGTTCAATATTTTCATAAACTACATTATTTCCAGTTTAAAGTGTAATATTTATTGCTCACAGATAATTTAAAACTAAACTCTATTATAAATACAAATGATGACAGTCTTAAGCTTCAATAAGACCCCCATTGAATCAATATATGGCATTTACAATATCTCAAAATGCAATGTTATACCATTTTTAAATATAATTCATACTATTCGCTATATCAATTACTTTGATGACTTTTGAAAAGAAATTAACTTTCTTAAAATTATAAAAACAGCATATGACTAAACGATTAAGATTAAGATGATTAGAATCTTTATTCACAAAAATTAAGTGGTTAGACTTTGTCAGAAGCAAAAAAATCTATTCAGCTAAAGTGCTTATAGCCCACATAAAGTATAAAAGATTTTGAGGCAAGTAATTATCAAAAAATGTATGTACCAAATTTGAAGATTGCCAACAAGTAACTGGAAATAATTTCCAGACAAAATTTTTTTCAATCTTTTCTCACCCTTTGTGTAATCGGTTTTTTAGTTGAAAAGCGTAGTCAACAAATAAATAACTGATATTACAGTTTCAAAATTAATACAAACTATGGATCGTAGTTCATATTTCATCACGACTGCGGCTTTCTCCCAATGGACGAATCTTAACAGCTAGACTTTCCAGATATTAATGAGGCCTTTGATCTTATCTTTCGGCGTCTTCGATATTCACTAACGCCGATGGGCACTGATAAATTACAATCCTCTGTGAAGCAACTGACATCCAAAGGGGGTCCCAAAGATAAATATAAATTGTCGGAGGAGATACGAACATAGTAAGGGTTGCTTTTGGTTCGATAATTCGACCCAGATCGACGAGAGAATTCCATCGTTATATTATCCGGTATTATGTTTCAAATTCGCCGAGACTGAAATTTTCATAACAATAATACTCCGGTGTGCTATTAATGTAGTTGGCTGATTATTAGGGTGAAATTAGTTATGATAGTATTGAAGTATCTAATTTGTTAGTAAGTATTAATTAAATGGATAAAGACAAAGCTCAGTTCAGTTTCATATTACTAGTTTTTTTATTGAAGTCATTATTTCATTTCAGACTATGCAATTCCACTTCAGAAAAATGTTAATTAAGCCACAAAAATCTTTTATATAGGACGATTCATTCGAACCTGGAAAATAAGTACAAGCGTTAGGTAAGGTAATAATCGCAACTTCTGAAAAATAATGTGATATAAAAATTACTTATGGAATGAAGACCAACCCAGAGAAAACTGTATTTACCTCAAATTTGCCGGTATTTAAAGACAAACACCACCTATCCACTATTTCACCTATCTATCAGAAGAAATGGGACTTAACTTTACTCAAGCTACTACTACATTCTTCAAAAGACTTTCTTGCCAGTGATGTGCTGCCGAAAACCACCAGTTGTCAAGAT